AGCAGATTCAGACCCATTTGTGCATATGAGACCAAGTTTGTGATGCACTTTCCCTCCACAAAACAGCAAAATACTTGCAGGACAAACACCAGTGGTTTTCACTGCTTTAGCTTTAACGTGGGATGTAACACAGAATCAGAGCTCAGGGCGTGTGCTCCTACAGCTTTGACAGAAGATGAGATTTTTAAATGGTCACATCTTCTCAGCTGTCCAGGAGAGAATAAGTAGTGTTGCATTTTCTAGGGCTGTCATTGTTCAAAAGCAAATTTTAGTTTTCTGGAACATTAAACCCCTCCAAGTTTGAAAAATAAACAAGGAGACAGATGACCTGAAAATGAAAATCAGGAAATCAAAAGGACTGTGACTACCTTTACAGTAGTTATAAACACAAAAATGCCTAGAGTATGCATCTGCACTGTCCTTCCCCCACTGTCCATCCACGTGGCTACGAAGTCAGGCCAGGATATCTCCCCTTCCACGAGGCCTATGGAGGACCCTACATAACTTCCCGGAAACTTGGCAGTTACTGTGACCCTGCCCTAATATAAAACAGGTGACACGGAGCTCAGAGCCAAGCCGGGACAGACCACAGGGTTTCACAAAGCAGGCTCTGCTCTGTGGGTCTTTCCCCCTGAAAGAGGTGGCTTCTTAAGACCTGGCTACAGCGTGATAATTTCAGAACTGCAAATTATTCTACTCCACTACTCCTGACCAGCTGAATCATTTGCTTTACTGAATCTGTGTCTGTGCCATATGCTAATGCCAGCAATCGGGATGTAGGTGTGTTAGAACCACTGCAGCTGCTCCACAGTTTGGTGGGAGATTACAGGGTGTGAGAGGGGGGCAGGAGAGGTGCTGCACCCTGCACCCTTCTGACTTCATCACTGCTAATCGCAGCTCTTGGATCTCTCCCCCCCACCCCCAATTCTTATGCAAACATTTAGAAGAAGTAGGCAGGAAAAAAAAGGCACGTAACAGGAGACATAAAGAGTGCAAAGCCTCAGAGGAGCGCACAAAGCACAAAATGTCTCTTCTGCTCGTTCAAAAGACCCTTCCCAGCTTCTTGCACTAGGCAAGAGTGTGTGAGCAGGGATTCAGAGCTCCCCTCCCACTGAGCTCGCAGCTAAAGCCCTCCCCCAGTTCCCAGGGTCTTCAAATAAAGATTTGCATAGTAGTTCCAGATCATTCTCGAGAGAAGGGACAATGGCTCTCTCAACGCCCTCTTCCCCCCATCCCTCCCTCCCAAAGCTGATAAAGCCCTGGTGAAAAGGGGAACAAAGGATTTACAGATGTCAGAATATTGATTTCTGCCGTTCCAGGACTACAGGGAGAAGATGGAGAAAACTTTTGCCCTCAGAAACTCTGTGAAGTTTGAGACACAGACGCTATCTCTGCAGCACGAGCTCCGCGTTTGTTAAGACAGCATCTGATGGAGGCAATGTTGCTATTCGAGAGGGGTGAGCAGGGCCCTGGAAATGCGAAAATGCTCGGGGATGAGATTACAGCGTTCAATCGCAGAGAGCGCATTTGTTGATCCCGGAGCTGGTGAACGGAGAGGCGATTCCCGTGAAAGCAGTTTGCCACCAGGCGGGCCGGGCCGGCATTGCTCCGGTGCTCCCAGCTCAGCGTGATTCGCTCTGGTATCCTGCCCTCTCTCTGCCACCCACCGCTGCAGCTGGGAAAAGTAACAGAAAGAAGGGTGAAAGACGAGTTTTCGGCAAGTGGCCTTTGATTCGGAATCAGAGTGGAATGGAGGTTCTCAAAATTCACTAAATTTAGGGCCGTTACCTGAAAGCCAAAGCTTTCTGCTCCCACAAGTTTCTGTGCACAGTCCATGTAAACCCAAGCTTGCTTTTGCAGTACAAACATTCTTTTTCACTGTAGTGCATCCCCTGTACCGAACTCCACCTCTACCAGCTCGCTGCGATCGTTCAAATTGTGCTAAACAGAACAGCGACGTGATCCAAAGTGTCACATTTGTCACACCCAGCAGGAGACTGGGACTGGGCAGCCAAGTGAGGTTACAGAGTTCTGGCCTGACCTCCACCTGTCCCACCACTACACTGAAACAGCTTTATCTCAGAGACTGGCTACCACCACTTTGTAGACGTACACACTATATCGATATCTATATCATCTATATCTATTTCTTTTTCCCCTCCCTTTTCAGAGCTAACTCTATAGCATTTCTGCACTCAGAAAGTTCCAGGGATGCTGGATCTTTTGTAAAAATGTACCTGATGAAAGTTCCTAAAATGCTGGATTTAGGCCTGGATTTTTAAAGGTGGTAAGCTATTTTCTAAATCAAACTCTAGGCCCTCAGATAGGTCAGCTGAGGGAAAACACACCTGAAACCCTTTCTGCAAGGCACAGTAGTGAGTACAAGAGGCATTTCTCATGCCATGGGTCAATAATTCTGACAGAGCTGCAGAGCCAGGGCTGACTGTTCCCTCATTTTCCACACACCTTTGTAAAAACACATGCTGTCAGGAGGACTGAAACCATAACAGTGATAATTACCATCACATATTGTAGAGTTAAACACATTTCATAGAGCTACATCAAAACATACTTCACAATACCTTTAAAAATCTAGGTTTCTTTCAATACCTGCCTGTCTTCCCTCAGCTAAAAGAAATTATTCTTATGGAATCTTTTGTGTCTCCCAGCAGTCACTCCTAATTTACATTTAAAGATGTGAATCACACCCACCAGACTCCTGATACACCTCATACAGAGATTAATCACAGCTGTTGGGATGATGAAGACTAAGACACATTTTAAATCAGTGTAACTCAGACTGTAATGAACCTGCTACCACACTCAGGTTCAGGACAGATTCAAACCCCATTTTCAGTTGCTCTCCATGAGCCCCTTGGAGCTACATGGGTGAGACAAGGTGCACTTGGGACAGCTGTGCTAAGAGTTGCCACTACTGTCTTCTCCAAAGAGCATTTTCCAGACTGTCAGAGGAGTAAAGGTGTCAGGGAGAACTCAGGAGAAGCAAACCTTGGCTGCTTTCACCTCCTGCTGAACACTTGCATGTTGTGTTTTGAGGCTGCAGCAGCAGCAGCACAGCTCACAACTGTTTTATTTTTGAGAGAATTTTTCCTCATCCTAGACAGATGTTTGCTTGTTTTGCTGATTCTTTGCTTCCTCTCAATTCACAAACATTAGTGTCTGTTGTTTACTTAAAGTTCTTTCTGCTACAAACAAGAGTAGTTTTGTTTACGTAGCTCCTGCTACAAATTTGCTTTAGGATACAGAACTTAATCTTAGTTTCATCACTGAAATATTGCACCAAATAATTCTCAGATCTTCTGTTTTCAAAAAAAAACACATGCAAATTCCTTTTAAATTAAAAGTCTGATATGTTAGACATCTCATAAGCCTGAATCCAAAGGATGAAGGTGTGGAAAGATGAAATCTACCTCCAATGTGGATTTTGCAAAGCGGGTGTGTGCGCACAGAGCGAGCCCCAGTGGTTTGAGGGCTGTTTTGTACAAAATGCACCGTGTCCATGATGACAGAACACTTCTGCAGGTACACAAAGTACCACCTGGGAATAACTTCTTTCTGTATGGAAGCAAAGCTGTCCTTAAAATTATTTCTTAAATAAAATAATATAAAAGGAAAGTACTGGAAGAGGTAATTGTAACTTAAAAAAATAGAAGAGGAACAAAGAAACCAAAGCACTTTTAACAGTTTACACTGCCCAGATAAAGAAATTACTGAGCAATATTTTTATGCCAAGGTGTGTTTCACACAGCCTTCCAAGGTTCTGGTCATCTTAAAATTCTTTTGTGCTGCACAGTAAATTGGAGCCAAGCCCTGCTCCAATTGAAAATGGGTAAAGAAATCCTGCTCCCCAGCAGCAAATACATCTTACAGCCATGCCACACTGCATGCCTTGGTCAACAGAGAAGTGACCAATTCCATGGGATCAAAGTGTGCACATGACCAACAAACCTCCTCCTTCCAACAACAGCCTCGTTTGGAGTAAAACACAATTCCTTCATGTCATTCCTCTCAGACCAGCCCTTACCACTATCCTTCCCAAAAGCTCAGTTTATTTGCTTTTTTACTGTTACAGTTTCTAAATGCACCATGGGAATCCTCTCATTTTGCTGTGGGGCTTTAAGTGCTGAAAAATGTATGTCCACCTACACAGCTTCTGCCAAAAGTCAAAGCCAACCATCAGGGTCCAATAAAGAACCGAAAGAGAACCTAGATAGTTGTAATTTTTTTTTTTTTTTTTTCCTCTGAAGATCTTGTGTTCATTCAAGTGATGTTATTTCAGTAGAATCATCCCAGGAAACCACGTAATTAAAAACACATTAAAGGTAGCAAAACTGCACCATTTGAGGGGTCCTCTGATCCCCTCAAGCCTGGGACTTCCCCAGCACTCTCCCTGACCCCACAGCCCCAGGACTTTTCACTCTCTTAACTACTTATCACTCTCTACCTGACAGGAGGTTGTAGGCAGGTGATGATCGGCCTCTTCTCCCAGGTAATAGCAACAAGGGGACATGGCCTCCAGTTGCACCAGGGGAGGTTAGGGTTGGACATCGAGAGTAATTTCTCCACAGAAAGTGTGGACAGACATTGGAACGGGCTGCTTAGGGAGGTGGTGGAATAACCGTCCCTGGAGGCGTTTAAGGGAAGACTGGACATGGCACCGAGTGCGATGGCCTGGCTGACACGGTAATGCTGGGTCACAGGACGAACACGATGCTCCCGAGGTCACCTCCAAGCCAAGCGAGGCTGTGCCTGTCACCCTGCGGCTCTGTCACCGCCTCCAGGACGAGCCCCCCCAGCTCCGCCCTCAGCACCAAGATGGCGCCGGCCCGCCCCTCAGGCCGTCCCGCCGTGACGTCACCGCCCCGCCCCTCCCGCGCAGGGCGGCGCGTGCGCGCGGCCGGCCCCGCTCAAGGTCAGCGCGGCCGCTGCCGCCGTCGGTCCCGCCCGGCGCGGTTCCGGTTCCGGCCCCGGTTCCGGTGTGCGGACAGGAGAACATGGCGGCGCTCGGACGGGTGTCCCGCCTGCTGCTCGGCACCGCCGCCCCGCGCTCCCCGCTGGCGCGCGGCATGGCGGCGGCGGCGGCACACGAGGAGGGCGGAGCAAACGGGGCTCTGCGGGGCGAGGGCGGAGCCGGGGCCCGCGGCCGGCGCGGCGCTGCCCTTGACAGCCGGTGCCCTTCGCTCTGGGAACGGGGCATGGCAGGCGCTCGGTGTGAGCCCCCGCCGGGACAGAGGGGCTTGAACCGTGAGCCCGGATCCCTGTTACAGACGGGGAGGGCACCCGCGCTCGGACACGGGGTTCATTAGTGCCTCGTTAACGCGCTAATTGTATTTACGGCGCTGCCGGGTCAGTAACGCTAACAGGGTGCTGATTGTTGTTCTGATTGCTGCCCCGCCCAGCCCGCACCTGGAAGATCCTGACGTTCGTGGTGGCTCTGCCCGGCGTGGCCGTGTGCATGCTGAACTGCTACCTGAAGGGACGGCACGAGCACGAGCGGCCCGAGTTCGTGCCCTACCCCCACCTCCGCATCAGGACCAAGGTACTGCTGCCCGCCGTGTCTAACAGCTCTCTTCTCCTGCCTCTCAGAGGGTCTTTTCCTTTCTCCATCGCTACCTGAGAGCGTGGCTGATGTAACTCATGGCTGTTTCTGAGGCAGTAAGAGTTTGTCACAGCTCTGATGAAGTACCCATGGTATTCACAGTCCTTCCCACTCCAAAGTCATCCTCCTAATGTCTTACTGAAAAATGTTTCAGTCCTAGAGCTGCTGTACTTAATACAGATCTAAAAGGTAGCAGTGGAGATCCCAAATACTCAAAATTGGGGTCCTCATAATACTGCACAGTGGATGTTTAAGTAAGCATAGACTGTGCTGTGTAGAGATTGTGGCTCCCAGCTAAGGGAGACAGTTTTCCAACTCTTGCTTCCTACATCCTGGGAGCCAGCTTGCTTAATTCACCAGGCTGTCAAGGTGTGTGATCATAGAATCATTTAGATTGAAAAAATCTTCTGAGATGGAGTCAAACCTTTGACTCGTCTCCACCCTGTGAACCAGATCATGGCACTAAGTGCTGTATCCAGCTTAAACACCTTCAGGGACAGTGACCTCAGCAGCCTGAGCAATTTATCTCAATGTTTAGCAACCCTTTTTGTGAAGAAATCCCTCCTGATGTCCAGCCTGAACCTTCCCTGGCACAGCTTGAGGCCATTTCCTCTTGCCTTGTCACTAATTGTCTGGGAGAATTGATGTGTCTGTACTGTTCTGGGTTTCAGGTGCTTGTAGGGATTGTTCAGAAAACTGGCTTATTTTCTTTCTTCTTTCAACAGCGTTTCCCCTGGGGTGATGGGAATAAAACTCTGTTTCACAACCCCCACGTTAACGCTCTCCCAACTGGTTATGAAGATTAAAACCAAGAGCCTGACAACAGCCAGAACTTTGTCTCTCCCCATCTTGAACAAGATTGTTGAGTGGGAGCCATCATTTTTGGGGTCATAGTTTCAGAAACTCGGTGTTTCTTCTGTGATGAAGCTGAATAATGTTGTGGCCCCCTGTGTGTACTTGTGATGGGGTCCTTTAAATAAACAACTCTGAACGTGAATTTGGGATTTGACTTGTTTACCTGAATCCTTAGAAGTTTTTTAGTTCAGTGTTTGCATAAAGCATTAAAGTTTCCCCCAGGAGTGCAGGAACAAAGGGCTTTGACTGCCTGGATGGGAACACATGTTCCTGTGTCTGGTAACACAAACAACAGGAGTGCATTTGGCATAGGACATAAATCAGTTTCATATTCCTCATGTCTGGTTTAAGTGATGATTCTAAACTCACAGCCAGAAGAACAGACATGTAGGTTAAAATTCAATATATACTGAAACACATTCTCCATTTTGCAATATTTATTAACAGTCATGAAGGTGATTTTCTCTTGGTCCCTTCTGGCAGAGGGAGTGGCAGCAAAGATACTGAGCTAAGCTTTGCCTTCACACTTCACCTTCAGCTCTTTTTTTCAGGTACATCAGCACAGATCCTGCTCACCACTCTGCTTTCCATAAAGCTGCAGTCTGTACAAAGTCTCACACAGCTTTTGCAGAAGAAAACACAATTTTGACTCTACTGCTTCTGTCTGTACTAACATGTACTGTGTCATGCAGAAGCTGCTTGAAGTAGAAGGGATTACATGAGCCAACACCTGTGCCAGCACAACCTTCCTTTTCAAGTTTTTGCTCACTATAATTCAAACATTTTCCAGTTCTTACTGTAACTTGTATATATTTTCCACAATGTCAAACTGAGCTCTGTCTCAGCTATCATTAATGTGGTTCTCCCCAAAAGGTAGAACACAGCAGCTGCTTTGGCATCTTGTTGAAAGGAGTGATGGATGACAAGAGAGAATCAAAGTGGGTACTGCAAGATGCCCTTCTCGATGTTTCCATGTGATTTTTTTTCCTGTCTGCTTACCAGTAAAAGATTGCTGAGATGAGTTTCCCTGTGTTGAAAGTACAAGGCACTGATGGGCACAGTTGTTTTAAAGCTGACAAAGTCATATTTAGCCCTACATGAAAATCATAGAAAAGCAAACTGGTTTTGTGTGTTATTCCTTAAAAAATACATTAGCTGTCTTCAAGATGCTGTTTATAGATCCTTCTCTTAGGCCTGTTTTTATTTAAACCTGAGTGACACAGCACTTCGGCAACAGCCTGTTTTTTCAGTGCTGTATTTAACCCCACTGTAGGAGCTCTCTGCACCTGAGAACAAGAACATGGCTCACCTGGGTATGTGACTGCACAGGAACAACAGCCTCAGGCTGCAGCAGTTCCTGATCCTTTGCACAAGGCCCACAGGACTCAGTGTCTGGGGGCTGTGGTGCAGACAGGCCAGCTGTAATGTTTGAGAACTGCACCTTTTAAATTTTCTTTAAAGTAAAACCTTTAGAGGATTAGTATTAATTAAAAGCAGACAGTGAAGCTTTCTTTCTTCCTCACTGTAATTTTAGAATTATGAAATTATCATTTGTCCCCAGGCCATAATACCTTTTACTCTTTCACTGTGTTGGTGTAAGGAGAGGGACAAGCTTTGCTCCATCCCTGTGCGAGGATCAAACCACAGGGATGTGTAATGCTAAAGGAGAGGGTATTCAAGTTTGTGGATGTGTCAGTACCTCAGAAGAGGCTGAAGTAACTTCTGCATTAAAAGTTTTCTCTTCAGCTGCTGAGCAGGCCACTTCCATCTCTCCAAGGGGTCACAATCAGACTCTACTGCACAGTTGCCTACTTGAACAAAATATAACCTGGTATATTTATTTTAGCGAAACTGTTGCAGGTCCTCTAGTGCTTTAAAACCGTCTCTGTAGCTGACACAAAACAGTGCTTAAGCCCTCCAGCATTCAGGATGACATGAAACTAACTTCTTCACCAAAATTCAGCAGCATAGAGATGATAGAAAGTACATCAACCCCCTCCATATTCTTTTGAAACACTTTCAAGTGCTACATAAATAAGCAAAATAAATCAGTCACAAAGAAACCACCTCAGCCCACTCCAACCAGCATTCCCCCATTACAGAGTACATTCAGTGGGAAGTTAAATCACATGGATTTTTAAGCCATTCGATGCTGAGCCACCACCAACTTTCACTGGAAAGGAGGCAGCAGTTACCACTGCTGATGATCCAGAGTTTTTTTTTTTCCTTTTAGCCGTTTGTTTTCACAAGCAGAACATTCATCACTTCCTATAAAGCCATTAACAAAGGTCTTATTCAGGTGGCATCTGTGGTACACCTGGTGATGGTGCTTAGTCCAAAGGCTCCTATTAGTGACTGCACCCATACAACCAACATCAAGAGGAGTTTTCAGTTTTTCCTTTACTTTGGCCCATGAACTCCAGGCCCTCAATAGGTATGTCCTTTTCCTTGATTGCTTTCTGAAAAGAAGAAAAAGAAAACCAAATAATTAAACTCACAACTTCTTTATAGGGCTACATGATGTTACCTTTGGTACAAAACCACAGAATCAGTTTGGTTGTAAAGCACTTCTGAGATCGTCAAGTCTGACCTATGACCCAACAGCACCGTGACAACCACGGCATGGCCGTGCCCAGGCTCTCCTCAAACACTGACTACTCCACCTCCCCGGGCAGCCCATTCCAACGTCTGATCACCCTTTTTGTGAAAAAATCCTCCTAATGTCCAACCTAAACCTCCCTGGTGGAGTTTAAGTATATAACCTCTTGTCCTGTCGCTTGTTGCCTGAATAGAAATCATCTAAGAAAAAAAAAAAAAAGTACTCTACTAGAAAAAGTAATCTTAAAAGCTGGTTTGAATAAAGCTTCAACGTTAGAGTTGCTGAAGGATGTAGTGAGAAGTCACTGAACTACAGTCCGTCTAACAGAAACGTGCTGCAGCCTCTACAGAGCAACCTTAAGCCACGTACAAAAAAAACAGGAGACGCCTGTAAAATACTCCACGTCCTGACCGCCGGACACAGGGCGAGATAAACCCAGAGCTGCGTGTCGGGGTCACTGGTGAGACCCGACGCTGTTCCTGGGGTACCGGGACGGCGGCACGAAGGCTCAGCGCGGGGCCAGGCCGCTCGAGGCAGGCAGTGCAGGGGGCGGCGGGGCCGGACGCACCTGCACGCAGAGCTGGTAGCGCTTGAAGAGCTGTCCGCAGGGGTCGCCGGCGCTGTCGCCCTTGAGGAACTTCTCGGCGAACCAGCGGTTGAAGCACTGGTCGTACTCGCGCTTCAGCTCCGTGCACGCCTCGCCCACGCTGTTCATCGCGGCGGCCGCGCCGGGACGGGGGCCGCCCAGTGACGCACTTCCGGCGCGCCGGTGGCGTCACTAGCGGGGCTGTGACGTCAGGCGGCGGAAGCGCTATGCGCGCGCTGTCCGTCGGGTGGTGGCTCCGCGCCGGGCGGGTCCCCCCGCGCTGCGGGCACCGGGCACGGGCACCGCCGGTACCGGCACCGGCACCGCCGCCCCTCGCCAGGCGGGCCAGCGGGAACAGCAGAAAAGCCCAGGAAATTTCCCAAGGAAGCGACAGCAATCAGCGGGTCCCGACCAGTGGCTTGGATTTGGTGCCCTTAAAGGTCTTCCCCAGCCTTAACGATTTTAGGACTGTTTGTAAACTCCGGTTTTGAAGTGTAACCAGTTTCTAATTAAAATAAAGTAGCACTATTAAACTTACTGGGTTTTTTTTTTTTTCACTTTTTTTTGTCCGTATTGATGCTTTTGTGCAGCAGAAAGTGTCAGTGGAAGTGCTGGACCACTTGGAGCACCTGGCCCTGGTGGATTTCAGGGATGCGGAGGGCGTGGAGCGGCTGCAGAAAGCGATCCAGTTTGCTGATCAGCTCCATGAAGTAAACACCGACGGCGTGGAACCGATGGATTCAGTGCTGGAGGACAGGTGGTGAATTACAGCAGCCTCCTTTTATCTGTTAATGCATCAAACTGTTTGCTTTTGTGACTTTTTTTCCCTGGGAATCACGATGCGTGTGGTCCCTTTGCTCAAAATGTCTTCCTGTGGTTTTGTGTGGGAGAAGGTTGTCATTGGCACATGTAATTTTTATGTGTGAGCAAAGCAAAGAGGAACTTCAGTTTTTTAATCTGACTTAATTGTCACACTATCTCCCAAATGCCTGCCAATGACATTCTTGGGTGCTTCAAAACGTTCCAGTACTTGTCTCACTGTTTATTTAAGAGACCAAAACCAGATTTAGAGATAAGCCACCCTTCATATTCACAGAATAGTTTAAAGACAAGCAGTAATCTTTGTCCTTCAGGTGTCTGTATCTCAGAGAAGATGATGTGACAGAAGGCAACTGCACTAAAGAGCTGCTGGAAAATGCCAGAGAGAAAGTAGAGGAGTATTTTGTAGCTCCACCAGGTAATGGCTTGCTTATAAAAATCTCTTAATCTTGCCTGAATTACCCTGAAGAAAATAACCTGCCATAGCTGCATTTACTTTCAGAAATACTAATCAATAATAGGGAGTACTAAAAGAAATTACTGTAGCCATCTGTGTAAAACAGTGTGAAATTTATTGGTCCAGAAGCAGTACAGAGGCTGACCTGACTCTGAAGTTACTGCACATGTTGAAAAATTCCTTACAGGAAGTCAGACAGGACTTACTTTCCTGACTTTCTCAGGCTATTTAGGCAGCCTGATCATGAAGTAAACTGGAGAAACACTTCCAGGCCAGGGTGTCGTGCCCACAAGGTAATTTACAGCTGGTCTTACACAACTTGTTTTTTGTTTTCTCTCAGGTAACATCCCTTTACCAAAGCTGGAAGAACGAGAGACTTTTCTGCAGGGCTCTTAGTGACAGCCCAGAGACCAAATCCCCCTTCATTATTTTATTTTGTGAAAATGAAGTTTTGTGCAGTCACAGCTGAAACATCCTGGCATGTATTTTGGTCAAAAGGAGAGCACTTGCAAGACAGAAGAAAGAAGGTGTAAAAGTTTAGTAGAGCTGCTGAAATATTCAATGTCTCTGAAGCTGGATGGCAGCATGGCAGATGACCTTGGTGCTTTTATTTGGCAGAGTGACTTTGTTGTCTGGAGGTGAGAGCAAACCCTTGTCCCACTCTTAATTGTGTAATTACTTCATTATTTGTTTAAGCATCCATAATATTCTCACATAGATGCATAAAACATGTAATTACTATGATACTTGAATTCTTTCAAGGGTATTGAAATAAAGCCTGTATTTAACACCAGTAATCCAATCCTCTGCAAAGCTGTAACACTGTATTTGGTCTCAGACTTGTCAAGATTCAGACCCTGCAAATGCTGAAGTTTTAAAAATATAGACTCACCCTATAAGTAATTTATGATGTGTATATAAATCATAACAAGGAAAGACTTAAAAATATCAGTCAATCAATATGATTAACACCACAATCATAGTATCAGGTCATTTCCACTTTGAGAAGTCCCCTCTTGTCCATCCATTTTGGCCTCCTCCTTTTACCATCAGAGAGAATGGGGACATTATTATTTACGCAGAAAAAGGAAGAGGAATTTGAGAGGGAACTGCATGCCTGCAGGAGCTTTTAACCCAAAATAGCATTAAGTAACTATTTAAAGGCAACAACTAAACCAACAATTTGGACAAGATGATCCCACATTCCCAATGCAGCACAGTCTAAACTTAAAACTGCCAGTTCAGTGCTGCTCCCACACACTCTAGTGAGAGAACAGACTGCCTGCTGCTTGTTCCCTGCGGCCCAAACTGCATTTAAAGTGGAAAACACACATCTCCTTAATGAAGGGGTTTAATGCAACTTCATCACAAATAAGGGAATTACAACCTTGACTCAGACACCTGCAACCACCAAAAAGAAAAGCTCACAGAGGGTAGATGAGCTGCCTGTGGGGCAGGGCATGTCAGTGCCTCAGTGGGTCTAACACTGGTGGTGCTGAGCCCTGCTGGGCCCTGGCTGCACTTTGAGAGAGGGAGAGACACTCCTCATGTGCTGGTTCACCTGCATTCACTGCAGGACTCAGTAAATGGATCCAGTTTCTCTGGAGACCATGGAGATAACCTCACTTGGACCTGCTGACATTTTTCCACCACCACAAACTTGTAGATACAAAATTGAATTGGAAGTCCTTGCATATAAATCCCAAATTTACAAAGAAAATTCCAGTGTGGAGATTTCTTCACTTTTGTGGAAAGAAAAAGAAAATGGAAGTTGTTTCATTGCTAATAATGATTATTTAACATTTTGGTATTAACTAGGAGCCCCAGGAAAAATCTCTGCTAATACAGTGATACATTGTGCAACACAGAGTAAGAAACCACCTCACAAAAAGTGCTTACAGCCTAACCTCCATCTGGGAGAGAAATCTCATGAGATGCCTTATCCATTACCCAGTTTTCTTCAGCACCTCCTCTACCCCAGCTATCATCTCCTGTGTTTATTTGTTCTGCCTTTCCCTGCAGCTCTGTCCTGAGGGAAACTCTACTTTTATATTCTTGATTAACAAGTAGGATTCTAATGTATCTCAGGCTTTAATGTTTCTCATTAACTACGTGTATCTCACCCACACTGACATTTCCTGCACTCGTCATCACAATTGTTCCTTCAGCAAACCATCTCTTAATGCAGAGAAATTTGCCTGCAGCTACCAAACACAACCACCTCCTCAGAGATTCGTGGGTGTTTCTGAAGTTCAGTGGAAGCACTTGGAAGATTGTTAAATGGCTCCGTTGTGTCAGCACAAAACTGTCCAGTACTCAAAGATCTACTCAAAGTGCTGCAGATACTGAACACAGTCCTGGGAATTAATTACTTACTGTGGTCCCAAGACCACTCAGAACTCTAGCACACAAGCAAAGTTGTGAATGATATCTAACTGGAATGCTAAAACCTGGGAGTCAGGAGTTATTCCTGAGATATTTTAGGGTGACAACAGTATTGCTTTATGCAGTTTCACTATTTCTGGGGGCACTTTATTTTTCTGAGGTTGCCTTAGAGTTTGCAAAAGCAAAGAGTTGCTTGCAGTTATGCTGCTTTTTCTTTGAGTGACACTCAGCAGGCAGCTACACTGAATAAATATGCAAAATATTTACATTTCAAGTGAGGTGAATGCCTGCTCTTGAGGTGGGTTTTTAAAAAATTTTTACAAGGAAATGGGAGTCCTACCAACCAGTATTTAAAAAGCTCTTTTAAGTTATCCTGTGCTGTTTGCTGTAGACATGGTTGAGTCCTGTTATTAACACATCACCAGCTGTGGAAGACACAACAGCAATGTTCTATCTGCTGACAAGAGTGTCAGCAGAAAGTGCCCCAGGGAGAGTGAAACTAAGAAAACAGAGCACTGAGGATCAACCAAAACATCTTGTTTCATTTAAACAAACAAAAAAAACCAAAACAAAAGCAACCCAACCAACCAACCAACCAAAATAACCCCCAAACCAAACACAAACAAAAAAAGGCGAGAGTTGCAGAAATAGTGAGGTCTGCAAAAGATGGTGTAAAAGTCTGATAGATTTGGTTCACTAAAGGAACAAAGTTTGCAGTTGACTTGATCATACCCAGTAAACATGGGTCAGAGATTTGCATCAGAGGTCACTTAGTGTGACTTGAAAAGACACAGCTGGAAACAGGTGAACAGGACAGGTGATCGAGTGCCATTCACAAGCTGTGGAACTCCTTCCTTTGACATGGGTGGGCTTCACTCTCAGTAAAGAGCATATTACTGACACAGCTGCCCCAGATAATATATCCCAGTATTCTCTCAGTAATTTCATGTACTATTGAAAGGGCTATTCCCAACAAGAGCTTGTTCCAAAGAGAAACAAAGTCTTGCTGAGATTATTGGTTAAACTCAACATCTGTGTGATCAAGGCTGGGGCAAGTAATAAAATGGCTTTTGGGGCCCACATATCAACTATGTAAAGGTGTTTTACAGAAGCTGGTGGACACATTACAATGCCTGGGAGACTGAACATACTTTAAGGAACACGTTGTTTTTTTTATCCAGGATCACCTGATGATGCCACATAGAATCACAGAATTAGATTGGAAAAGACCTCTGAGATCATTGAGTCCAATCGGTGACCAAACACCACCATGTCAACCAGACCATGGCACTCAGTGTCATGTCCAGTCTCAAACACCTCCAGGGACAGTGACACCACCGCTCTCTGGGCAGCCCCTTCCAATGTCTAATCTCCCTTTCTGTGAAGAAATTCCTCCTAATGTCCAACCTAAGCCCCCCATGGCGCAGCACACCAGTACCACGGCAGTCAGCACTGAAAGCTTTCCATACACAGCCCAAATCTACTTCATCATCCCAAAACACGGGCCCTGTGCTCTCGTTGCCTCCCCGCATCTTCCGGTCGCCATGGGAACGGACGCGGCGCGGGGCATCCCGGGCCGCAAGACAACGCTGCAGTAAAACCCTGCCGGGAGCCGCGCCGCAGCCAATGGGCGCTCGGGGACCAGCAGTACTGACCAATGGGCGCTCGGGGACCAGCAGTACTGGCCAATGGGAGCTCGGGGACAGGCAGCGCTGGCCAATGGGCGCTGGGGAGGCGGAGCCGTTGGCCAATGGGGGCGGCCGGCGCGCAGGGGGCGGGGCAAAGGCGCTGCGAGGCGCGCACGGACCAGAGTGCAGCGCTGTCCGCTCTGCACCGCGCCGGTCCCGCAGCGCCCGAACGGTGAGGGACGGGGCGCGGGCGGTGCCCGGAGAGACTCGGCCATCCCGGTACCCGGGGACCCCCTCGTGTCCCGGCGGCTCCTCCGTGTCTGGGCTCTTCCCCGGCCTCCGCCTCCGGTTTTCCCTCATCCCCAGCAGCTGCCGGCGGTACCCTGTAGCCAGGCGAGGCTGCGAGCCCTTGGCCGCGCGGGCTGGGCTTCCTTCGCCTCCCTCGGGGGAGGGAAGGGCCGTCGGGCCGGGCGATGGAGCGGCCGCGCTCTTTGGCGGAGCTCCCGGGCTCGTCGGGCCGGAGCGGGGCTGGGGAGGGCCGGGAGGGCGGCGGCGCTTGTGCGGCTCCGGGCCGGAGAGCCGGTGCCGAACGGGAGGCGGCGTTTGAGCCCCGCTGCTCGGGCTGTGCCCGGGGCCGTGCCCGTGCCCGGCACGCCCGGCCAGGGCGGGGGCACCGCGCGGTGCCCGAGAGCGCGCTGGGAATGGCGCTACCTGTGGGGCTGCTCGGCAGCAGGTGGTTCCGGCAGGTGCTTCTGCAACTCTGAATTTCCTTCGGTTTTTTTTTTCTCCAAGCAGGCAATCATGAGTGATCGAAAGGCAGTGATCAAAAATGCGGACATGTCAGAAGAGATGCAGCAAGACTCAGTGGAATGTGCAACTCAAGCCTTGGAGAAATACAACATTGAGAAGGACATCGCTGCTCACATAAAGAAGGTAGATGTTGGCTTGTAATGTGCTCATGAAAAATCAGTTGGGGAGAACGCTGCTAGGCAAGTAGCTCTAGAGAAACAAGTTCTAGAGGCACTAGATAATCGAGTTAGACTTTTTCTATTCCTTTCCCCACCCTTTATATGGACCTTTCTAGGTCCTTCTGCTTTTCTCTTGTAGTGCCTTGCACCTTTTCTGCCACTGTCGCATTGTCCACGTGAGGATAGAGTGGCAGCTGACTGTCCCTGTGACTGATGAGCTGGTACAAGACACAGGCTCTGTGCAGCCTATTTAAAGAGTGGTGGTTTGACGACCATGTAATAAGTGGGTTTGGTTTTTTTCCCTTTCCCACCACATGTAAGACAAGCTGTTCATGCTAATGCTGAACAGATGGTTCATAGCTTACAGTTTGTCACATTTTTTCTCTTGACTCCTACTGGGAGCCTGACTGAGCTGCAAGGAGCTAAAGGGTTTGGTTGAGCAGAATAGAAACTTCCATGTCCTCACAAAAATCTCTTCAGCTGATAGCTGTTAGGTACTGCAGTACAAATCCATTGACTGCATGGGTTTGCTCACTGTAGACCTGTACACAGGAATTTATTTGTAGCAGGCTCCTGACAGCAGCATATCACAACACCATCTTATGACCAGATGTCAGGGATGTGGCAGAGAATTTTCCATCAAGTGTCCTTTCAGCATCCTTATTGTAAAAAACAACTAATGAAGTCAAAATACCAGCTTCACTGGAGATTCAGAACAAGCAGACAGATTCTTAGAAGTTATGGTCTGAGATCATGGCATGACTTTAGGGGTAAAGTTACCACCCCAAATGTATGTTTTATTCCTGCTCTGCTGGGAAGCACTTTTTAAAATATTTTTTTGGTATGACTAAGCAGCAGATGAGTTATAAAGTGACAGATGATCCTTGTGCTTAAGAACATATGCTGCTCCTTAATTGCTTTCTTCCAAAAGCGATACTTGTTAACAAGTGACAAATCATTGCCAAAAAAACCTCCCCAACTGTTAGACAATATTAGTATAATTACCATGAAAATGCTGACTTTCTAATTCTCTATTCTGTAGGAATTTGACAAGAAATACAATCCCACGTGGCACTGCATTGTGGGAAGGAACTTTGGCAGCTATGTGACTCATGAGACCAAGCACTTCATCTACTTCTACCTCGGCCAAGTCGCTATTCTTCTTTTCAAGTCTGGCTAGAACCATGGACTGTTACTGAAACTTGCACCTGGGTACAGGACTGCACATTGATTCCCACCTTCAGCCTTCCTGGGGAAACACACCTTGATCTTCAGGTCTTTTGTTGTATTGTTAATGGGCAGGGATTTTGCTGTAGCGGCTCGTATTTTCATTGTGGCTATACAGAAAAGCAAAAATGTCTTCCTTGTATTTATTTTCTTTCAAAAGATGGCTTCTTTGCTAATAAAACCCTTGGAACGAGTTTATCCCTTTGCCCTCTTGCATTACCCTCTTTATTGCCATGTGAATGAAGGATGAATATCCCCACCTCTATTCCCACATCCTAAATCCATCCTTTCTTAGGAAACCTTCTTACAAGACTGATTTAAGTGGAAATAAGTTGATGCAGAGCCCTTTTATTTCATAAGCCTTCCATCATTGGCCTTTGAAAGAAGTAAAGGAGTCATGGGAAAAAATCCTTAAACTCCACATGACAAAGATAATAACAGCTTCATAAAAGTCCACAGTTACTTCATAAATCCAAGTTACTTCTCACAAGTATAACATCCTCCTTAAAGATTAGTAAAAAGAAAGGCATCTTATTTGGAGACTAATCAGTTTGTTTCTGTATCCACACCCACTGCCAACTTGTTCCACTTGTTAGCAGTGCTCAGCTTTGGCCATATCCTTTACATTACACTTGAAGAGGAATGCAAGTGTAAGAAACACCACTGGAATCACTCTTTCTTGGTGGGGAGAGGTAACTTGTGTTCTTCTGAGTCCGGCTGCTGAGCAAGGACCTGCTGCACAAGTTCTTAGAACTCCTCTTGATACCGTTAAAATTCCACAGCTTTCATATTCCTCATGAAAATTACACTTCTGGTGTTTTGCTACACAGACTCACAGTTTGAAACCTGAGTGAATGGCAACAATGCCGAAGTTTAAATTATCATAATCCACTTTGAAAAAGCCTGCATCTTCTATCATTGCCTTCAGCTCCTCCTGAAAAATAATTGCCACAATTATTAACAACCTGAAGGCCCATAAACCAGCTGGCCACAAGATTATGCTGGAATTGTGTTTTGTGTGTTAGTGAATTTGGGAAAATCCTGCCTTACCTGAGGGGGGAACTGTCGGATGCTCTCCACCAGATACTGGTAAGACCTCCAGTCACCAGCAATAACCTCACCCAGAACAGGGATAACCTGGAAACTGTAGAGATCATAGAGCCTGCACAAAGGACAGTAAATACAGATTAAAAGAAACAAATTTAAACCCTCTCCAACACGAGCTGGTCTCTCTGCCACTATGCTATGCAGCCTGTAGCTAACTTTAAAAGTGCACCAAGATGTGGTCTCAAAGTGTCTCCAGCTCTTATTCTGAGTACATACAAGAGAGCCTTGTGACACAGCACAAAGCATCACCACATTCCTACCTGGAAAGGAGAGGGTTGCTGACATGGCTAAATTCAAGGCAGAGAAATCTTCCTCCTGGTTTCAGCACACGATAGGCCTCTTGAAGTGCCTGAGACAAAGCAGATGTGATAAGTTTTCTTCTGTAGAACAGCACCTGCCTATTATCATGCCATGTGATATTATCATGCAATTCTGATGAACTGAGGGGAATGAAGAGTATCCTGACTGGCAACCTGCAATATTTACTGTAGAGAAGCATCACAAGACAAGTAAAAAAAAAACCCAAATGTGCCACAAACCCAAAGCACAAATACTCTTGCTGTTACATAAATAGATTTTTACAAGGCTTTGTGTCAAAACTGTGATGTCGGGTTTGCAATTTTCTTTTCTTTCCCTACTCGCAGTTGATGAAAGTTTGTTGGCAGAGCTCTTATAATTACAGACCAAACACAAAAGGGAGAAGGTGACTCAGCTACCAGAAACTGAAAATCAAAAATGGGCATGATAATTTTTTTAAATCAAAAGAAAAGATTTTACCGTGAGGCACACCCAAAGGTTCAAAGAAGGAATAATACTGGGTTTCGGATGAGCAGTGTGTAAGAACAGGAAGGAAAGAGAAACAAGAAAATCTTCAGCTACTTTGAAAATTCCATCCTGCATCAAAATAGAATACCTAACAAGAATCTAGACAAAATCCTGATTAAAACTTTATGTTCTTTCATACAAGAGCAGAGCTGTATTCCAGAACCTCTAAAGGTTGTACATCTGCTTGACTTCAACTGTCCTGTTCCTATGGGATAAAATATAAACACTACATAGGAGCTCTGAAAGAGTTGGCAGTTTGGGTGTGTTTTGTATCAGGTCTCCAGGGAGCTCTGCTACCAGACTGCTGTATGCATGAAGGCAAAAAGCCTGTGCTTTGGAAGGGTGCAGACAAAGCACCAGGAAAAAACATGCACATTAAGTTCAAAGGCACATGGTTCAAGGTGGTTTGGAATCAAATGCTTCACCTTCCACAGGAGCTCTGCCAAGGTGGTACCACACTCCTCCAAAAGAGACAACTAGTGCATCCAGACAGGTGTCACCCCCACAACAGCCAGTCCTTCTCAAAGGACAGAGATAGTTTAGAACAGAGAGTACTACTTATCCTAATTAAAATGGTACTTGTTCTTTATAGGGAGCTCTGCCAGTGTAAAGCACAAGTGGGCTGAACAGGCTGGTTCAACAGCAGCAGCCTCTGTCCCACTCTGCTCTGGCAGTTCTGTTGGCTCAGGCAGGGAAACAGAAGGGCAGGAAGCATTGGACCCACTGTTGGTGGGATATAGATCAGGTGCTGCAGGAAGATTTGAGAGATGCAGACTGACTGCACTGTGCATGTGTAGATCCAGCCATGCATGGTCAGAAGAAGGTGGGGAATGACTGCAGCGTCCAGCCCTTTGCCCTACAGACTGTGTGGCTTGCAAAGCTGGAAGGATTGGGTGCAACTGGTATAAATCTATCTTTTTATGACAAAGGTGGGGCACTTAATTGCATTTTCCATTCAAACAAGTTGCATACTACATGCCACTTATTTTAAATGTTTCAGGAGTAGTCTAGGATCTTCCTCTATCCAAAGGAGTTCCAACTTTGCTTCCTTTGTAGAATAAAAAAATCATAAGGACCCCATCTCAGGATACACTATAGTAACTTACCAAATCAATACGAGTTACATTTCGGATTCCGAAGGCAATTGTGTATACATCAAACTTATCATCATCAAAGGGCAACTCTTCAGCATTCCCAAGTACCCAGGACAAGCCTGTAGGGAAAGAAAAGTCACAGAACTGAATACAGACTGCTCCAGAAAGGCTAGAACTCACCCATTCTAGAAGGAATTGATTATTTTTAAAGTGATGTTGAAAACTAGTATTTCCATTTTGCAGTTTTGTTGGAGGAAAAACACCTTGACCTATACTCACAAATTTTTCAGACAGAGTAGTTAATTTTGCAGATCAGCAAAACAGGTCATTGTTCTGCACATACACATAGTGTGTATGTGCCACAAAGATTTAGCCCAAAACTTGCATCATAGTGGAAAGCACCGCTGGCTGCCATTTGTTTGTGGCAAAGCTGTAAAAAGAGAACCTCTGCTCAAACTGTAGCTATAGACAATTACTAACATCTTGCCATGCAACAATAGCCAAAAACAACACATGTTGGTAGAAAGATTCCACAGGTTGAGGAACATGAAAAGCCATGCTCCCTCCATCAGGATGATCAGTAGGTGATGCATTTGCAGCTGAATTGCTTCCCAGTCCCCAAAAGATCAAGACCATGTCTGTCTGTGGAGCATGGATGTCTGGGTTATTGGCAAGCAGACAAAATGCACAATCAGTGACTGTGCAACTCATGTTCCTTTTCCCCAGGCACAGCTCCCCCTCTTGGTAAATGTACACAGGAAAAAACCTTTGCCCCTTACAGTTTCTTACTATCAAGAATGTTACTGCCATGGTACAATGCATTATTTACCTTCAGAGTAGCCTAGATGCTGTGCTTTCTGCTTCCCAACTTTTAACATTTCTCTGTTGATGTCACAGACCACCACTTGGGAATCCCCAAGTGAGTTAAATTTGTCCTTTTGGTAACTCTCGAAAATTTCCTGCCATGACAAATTCTGATGCTGCTTGAGCTTCCTCTGGAGCTGGCGTTGTCGTACAGAGCGAACATAATTAATGAATCGAAAGGCAATGTCACCTGTAGTTGTTTTAAAGGAAAGATACACATTTTGGCATGTTTCCTGACTCAAGAAAGTTGAAACAAGGCTTTGAACATCCAGACGACTTATTATTCCTTTTTAGTCATCTATATTTATAAAACCACCCCCTCAGACACACTGTATAGACACAAAAAGAGTGTGTGTATACATGTATACAGACAAAAGGGGAACTTTTTAAAAACAAAGAGTCCATGACATTCCACAAATTTACAGTTTTTGATAGCATATTATGGCAGGACTATAACACTTTCAGACCCTCAAAGCAAGATATTACAAAACACAAAGATATTAGTTCTCAACCCTTCTCTGGGAAAGACAAGTAGATGCTTCACTAGCTTTAAAGACAGGGAGCTAAGGGTGAGAAAAAAATCCTAGCAGGCAAAGTAATTCTGAAAAGACACAAACAGCTGAAAAACAGTGTGGCATTGTCATGTGGAACTCACCAAAATTATTTACCTGTTCCCCCAGCAACATCAAGGAGGAGTGTTCCTGGGCAAGGGTTCATTTTATGCATGAGGATATCCTTCCACACCCGATGAATTCCTAGAGTCATTGAATCATTCATTACATCGTATTTCTTGGCCACCGATTCAAAGACCTGATAAACTGCAAAGAAAGGACATGGGAATGAGATGCAATTTACTTAAAAATGCTAAAGTCTAAGTAAAGCGTGTCCTTTTTTTGCACTGTGGAGGTCTGTCACTATGTGGAGCTGAAAAATACCGCACGAACACTCATTACAAAAGAAAATAAAAAATAAATTGAATCCTACTGAGCCTGCGGCCCGACAGAGGTCTCTGGAGAAACACAGCCTTCCCGAGCTGAGGGAAGTAACAGTGATATTATTCACCGGGACTCCCGGTAACGCCTCAAACAAGGGCCCAGCCCCAAACACGTCCCCAGCACTCTGGAGAACGATCACCGGCTGCCCGGGAGCCCAGCTCGGCTCCGGGCCCAGCCCGCCCTTTCCCGCCGCCGCCTCCCTCACTTTTCTCCCTCCTCTCCTCCTCCGTCACGCTCTGGAAGCCGAAGTGCATCTCCGGCCCTGCGGCCAAGCCGCGGCGAGCCCACACAGCCCCGGCGGGCCGGGAGAGCA